TACCCGCTCTGACAATAGTGCTCTGTGGTCTGGAACACCCCACTGTGGTCCGCACCCCATACCCGCCCCAGTCCGTGCCAGCCTCCATCCCCTCCCCGAGCCAGAAGCCAGGCCAGGGCTAGCCAAGGAGGCAACATGGGCACCCGCAGGGCTGGGGACAGGCACCTGTGCCACACACACGTACAGAGCCAGGGTGGCTGCATGCATCGCAGGTGGCCAGGGTCATGGCCAAGGTACCAGCCCCACCCACACCCGCCCACCACTGGGCACCTCCACCGTGTAACTGCAGCAGCAGGCCAGTGCTACCTCCTCGTTGCTATAGCAACGGCCGCAGGAGCTGCTGGGAGGAGGGAGGCCTGCTGGGCAGGCGGGCGGGCGGCCAGAGGGGCATCTGGTTACAGTGGGCACAGGTTCAGCCTCACCTGGGAGCCCCACTAGAGCGTGCCACCAGGCCCACAAGGGAGTCAAACCCCGGTCCCTTGAGATGAGCCTGGGGCCCCCATGCTGTTCCCGGGCCTAGGTGCCCCCTCTGGGCCTGAGCCACCTCCAGCTGTGCCAAGGGGAGAACAGAGGAGAGCTGAAGAGGGAACGGCCTGACTCTGCCCAGTGGTGAGGCCATGGCAGCCCAGGCTAAGAGGGGACAGGCGACACTCCCAGATGGAGAAGCCCCAGGACAGAGGCCCTTGGTTCCTACCCTTCAAACCAAGCTTTCCAGGAATGCCCCCACCCTCCAGAGAAGCCCACAGCATAAAGAGCAAACCTCTGCTCGCTGAGCCCACAGGTCTGACCCTGAAGCCCCAGACCCTCCCCAGGAAGTGGGGGGTCAACAGGAGTGTGCCAGATACCTGGCCCACCCAAGCCCCCTGCACAAGCCCAGAGAGGCCTTAGCCCCCCTGGAAGAAAAATTTTTGATTGCTGTGGCCTCAGGCTAAGGACCTCCATGTGGCCTGACCAGCCCCTGGTAGTGCTCCTGGGCAGGGGCAGAGGAAGATTCTAGGGAAGGCCTGACCTAGCAAGTGGGGGCCACTCCTGGCTGGAGGGCTGTGGACACCTCCCAGCCGCTTTCCAGTCCCCCACAGGCCACTGCTCCCTTCCCTGAGCCTTGAGATCCCCAGTGGCTACAGGGGCCATCATTCCAGCCTCTGCCTCCAGCCCTTGGGGTGCCCTTACTGCCAAGAACCCTGGGGCTAATGCATGCCCACATCCCGCTCCCCTTTCTCCTCTGAGCCCTGCCCTGCTGTCCCCAGTAACCCAAAATCTGAAGCAGGGACAGCTGCACCGGAGGCTGCAGGCCTGACCCACGGGACCCAGGGCCGGCCAGCCCCACGCACGTGGGCAGGTGGGCAGGGAGTATACTCAGCCCTGGTTCCCCGCCGGGCTCAGGTGCCCAGGGGAGCCCTGCCAGGCCGTGCTGATGGCCACCCTGCCCTGTCTGTGGTCCCAGGGTTCGTACTATGCACTTCAAAGCCCTTCTCAAGGAGGGTCCCCGGTGGGAGCTCATCAGCCCCAGGAGACTCCAAGTCAGGTGGGAGAGGGTGAGGATGAGAGGCTGCTTTGTCCTCAAGCCCCCCACTCCGGACCCCAGCCTGCTCTGGGCTCCTTGTGGAAAATCCTCAGGGCCCATTCAGAAATCCGAGCGGCCGGGGCCTCTCTGGTGCCTGTGCTGCTGTGGGCTAGGCGGCACAACAGGAGGGGCCCCAGCCTTTCGAAGGGCAGGGGTGCTGAGTGAGGGCCAGCATGATGGCATCCCTACGGCCTGAGGCTGGCCGCTCACCAGGACTTCTGTCCCTGACAGCTGCTGCGTCCTGTGCACTCAGGACCCTGGCTGCCCCAGACACAGGGCAGGGGGCTGGGGTGCTTGGGGGTCCCAGCTCCAATCAGCAGGACCAGGCCCCCAGAGGGGGCTGGGGTTGGGGAGATGGGAGGGTGGATCAGCCTCAGGGAGGACTGCTCCAGAGGACAAAAGGGTGCAGGGATGCAGACTGGCCGGTGCTGGCACAGCAAGGATACTCCCGTTCGTGAGAGAGCAGGAGCAAGGGCTAGCAGACTTGGGGGAAGGGCAGGAGGGAGGAGGAGAGGTGTCTGTCCAAGGGCAGGGAGGTGGTGGTGCAGGGAGGGAAAGGGCAGGGTCCCTGCAGGGGCTCCAGAGGAAGCTGGGCCCAGAAACTAAGGACCTTCTGGGCTGGAGAGAGTCTCCCAGGCCAGCCCTCCGTCCCAGTAATGAGGGCCTCCCGCGACACCAGCGTCCTGGGGCCGCTCGCCCCCGACCCGAACCGCTCGCCCCGAAGAGCGCACCGCGCGGGGCGTCCATCCCGTGACTCAGCCGCGCACCGCGAATGTCAGCGGCCGCGGGCGGCGGGCTGGGCATGGCCGAGTCCTCTTCCCGGAGGCCGGAGCCCGCAAGGGCGCACGGGGTCCCGGCAGGGAGGGGAGCTGGGGCCCGCCGCCCCGGGGGCCCTCCCGGGGTCTGCGCGCGCCCCGCCCGGCCGCACGTGCGCGCGGAAAGCGCGCCGCCGGGCCCCCGTGCGCGCGCCCTCAGGCTCAGGGCAGGCCCGGAGGCGCGCGGGGCGGCTCACCGGGCTCCGGCGCTTCAGCGTCACGTTCTTCCAGAGCAGCAGCTGCAGCTGGTGCAGGAAGCCCATGGCGGGGCCGCGCTCCGGCCGCCCTCGCGCCGCGGCCCGCTCCTCTGCGCGCCCCGCCGGCCCCGCCGCCCGCCGCGCCGCTCGGCATCGCCCGCGCGAGGCGGGGCCTGGGGCGTCGGGGACCGGCTCCACGCTGGCTCCGCCCCGGCCGCCGCGCCA